GCTGTGGATATACAAAAAACAACGTTGACTGTTGGTAGGATACTGGTAGGTAGTTGTAGACTGCAGTTACATCACACTCATTTGTTGACGATTATTTCTGTCACAACCACAAAAGGTTGTTTGTGGTTGAAAAAGAAGATATCATTTGTTTAAATCATTTAAACAATCAAACAAGCCAGTTGATTTGTTCTGGTAATGACAGTGGGTGTTTCTCAATGTCGAGGAGGCTTGTTTGGTAGCACATGTACCTCCAAGTCATATGCTTCAAAAGCGAGGCAAGAATCCCTCCTAGCCTCGGAAAACGAAGAATGGTGGAACAGGTGTGCGTCATATGCGAGGCCCCGCCTTAAATGGAGCGTGATTTCCGCCAAAGATTTGGAAATTGGTCCGTGCGCAAAGCATTGTGGGGATTTTAAGACCGCGGAGTCAACACATGTGCAGCCTCGAAATTTCCCCCAAAGAAGTACGCCGGCCTCGGTAGAATTCCAAGTATGCTGGACATTAGGCGCGTTCACACCGGAGTACTTTTCCCTGTACGTTTCCCATTTAGTTCCGTTAGGACCCCTTATGTTGCGTTCACACCAAAAAGAGTATAGTGTCGGGAACTTTTGCCCCCATTTGTAGTGCCTGCTATAGAGGTGGTACCAAAAAAGTACCAATTTCTATTGGCTGGGCGAATTGCAAACCACGCCCCGTAAAACTCGGAAAACTTTTGTGAAGCCGCCATTGTATTTGTGGCATTAGCATTATTAGCATCAGCATTAGCCCCGCGCACCAACGGAGAGAGACTAACTTATGGCAACACAAAAAAAAAACATGGGAGCGGTGGAGTGATGAGGAGGTGTCGGGGCACTAAGAGCCGGCACTAAGTACGGCAAAGTACTTGGTGTGAAAGCGACTATTGGAACAGTCCTTCGGCGGCACTCGATGACGTAGTATCCTTGAAATAGTGGCTCTGGAGCAACTTTCCTTGAAATTGAGAAACACCCAATACCCCTCCTCGACTCCTCTCTTCCCCTCATCCGGGACTTGAACCGGAAATCGATCAAGACACGCCATTTTGAAGGATGTCCCAATAGCTGAAATGCACACGGAGGAGTCGAGGAGGGGTGAGGGAGGAGGGGTGCGGGAGGAGACGAAAGGGAGGATACACGAGAGCAAACTACGCGGAAGTGTTTTCACTACTCGCGTATAAAAGCCCCGCCCCCACCTTCACAGCTGGTCCATTTCAACACGAAAACCGACAACTGGAAAATGAGTGGAAAAGCGTCACATAAATGTATAAGTGCTCACAGCTCCGTGGGAATTATTATGTGCAATTCATTTCTTAAGGTTATACTAACAATTTAAGTCATGTTTAATGATCTTGAACGTCACTAACACATAGCTATTAAGAAAACAATTTTCATGAATGGCTAGATCTTGATAAATAACAATTATTTGTATTGTTTTGTGTTAAGATATTCAGGAGTTAAATTATTTAAAATGTACTGTCCTGAATGCGGGTTTGTGGTGAATGTGGGGATCTACAGGACACACATTTTCAGAGTAAAGGCTTTCACATTACTATAATTATATTTTTATTTAAATGTAGGCTACAATTTACACCAGAACGGAACACAAAAGCAGGACCAACCATCATACATTGAATTCCTTGACTAACAAGAGAAAGATTCATTCATTTAAATACATATTTAACAACAAATGGGCCGGTACTAAGGGGTTATTCAGTTAAGCCCGATGAGAGGGGATAAGGCTGTGTTTCTCGTTTTAATGCCGTTGAATACGTCTTTTGATCAGATTGACAGCTACGGGGAGAAGATCTCCCGTAAAAGCTCCGGGGTACGTGTTGTGATGTCTGTGTTTGCTTCCCCTGTCGCGGGTTCGGATCGCTCAGTGATGATACTATACCTATAACATCTGTGGAACCTCAGCTTTAATCGGATAACTTGTATGTGCAGCTACGATAAGTAATAAGGGTGTCTTTATCTTGAGTTCTGTGCCAAAGTGCGTTAGCATTTTTCGCTCAGGGGTCATTTAGATGCTTCTTATGAGACTTGTGTTTTGTTTTGGTAAAAATGGTTTGTATCGTCAGTTAGCTGAGATTCTTCCCGTTAATCTGGTATAACACATTAATAGGTTTTTAAAAATGAAGATGCCCTGAGACACAGTGTTGTGAAAAATTGCTGGATTGCTCACCCAGAGTGTTGGCAATCCCCGTCTTCACGCTGTCTGAGAAAACGTGGGAGATCCTGTTTTCGTGCTCAGGCTTGGCCAGGACCACAATCCGAATGTTCCACAGAGTGTGGGTCGCCACCTGGATGTGAGAAGATGAAGTAAAGCATTACTGCTCTGCTTCTGCATTCAGTTGATTCTTTCTTACTACTTGTTAGTCACCTACTTGTTTAAAAGTGATGTTTGTGATTTTCCTCAGGACGCTTTTCACTGTGTCTGCCCACTCCCTCTCGCCCAGGGGATCCTCCTGTGTTCCGATAACGTAGAAATCATGTGGGATGTGGTCTGCAGTGTCGTCTCGGGTCTTCCCTTGGCCCTTGCACTGAAACCAGGAGTCAATGTTGTGGGGAGGACCAGCATTTCCTGCAGGTTTACAGTGAAGTATCTTACTTTGTTGTTACATTTAATCATGAATTCAAATTATTAACATGTAAGATTGTTACCCATGTTCCAGGTGCCAACAAACACTGTGATCATGTCTGGTTCAGGCTTTTCAGAGTGCTTGTTCTTCATTTGTTGAAGAAGTTGGCAAAATCCTTCCCTTTTCTGGCAAGATACATACAAAAAGGAAAATGTGATTTCTTAAAATGAACGCAATTAAACATTATATCTGATGAGTTACATGTAAAAGCTTTAGGCCCTGAAAATATATATCGTAATCAGCTTCTTACTATTACCAAAGGGCTTCTACCTGAACAAACTATGTCAAACCTGTTTTGGTTATACAAAATCTAATTTCTGTTCATGTTTTTCTCTATGCTTGTCTTAATTGTTCATTTAAAAAAAAAAGAAAACACAACTTCTCAATGTGCTGACAGGGTTTTATGCTTATGAAACCCATCCTAATGTTGCCATGCCATAATCAAATCTGTCAATGAATATGTTATAAATTATTGATATTTAAACAAATCTAGGGGACTTAAAATAGACCAGGAACAAGCTAATGGATCAGATGTTTATTACCTTTGTGTCATCAAAAACAAACTCTCTCCGCAGAATTTTCTCTTTCTCCGTCTCCGCCACGATCACCAGTTTGGCATGCATTTTCTGAGATTTCACCAACTGCAGGACTAAAAAATAATCAAAGCACTCTTAATAAATGAGTCGTGTTGATGCTTAACAGCAGATTGTAAACAAGATAAGAGTTACGGCCATGTAAAGGTGTACAGACCCAGCACAAATGTGTCAGTTTGGTTTAAAGCGGTGGCTGACTGACAGACGGGCCATTGCTGGAGCCACATTGCTTGCAGGGCAAATAATACAAACGAATGAGGTTAGAGCGCGATGGGATTTCTTACTTTTGTTGTGCACGAAAAACTTGTCTTCAGGCCCATCTTTTGACTTCTTTAAGTAGAGCTTCCCACTTTCAACATCTACTTTCAGGAACATCTTCATGGAAATACCCAGAGATTCTTGCTTGACCTGCAAGTGAAAGAGGAAATGGGAAAAATTAACAAGAAACCTTCAGACATTGCACATAATTAGCTTACTGCAATATTGTTAATATAGTAGTTTAGAGAAGCACCTCAAACGTAACAAGCGGTATGAGAGATTTCCTGTGACCTCCTTCACACCCAACAGATTCAAACATTGAGCTTTTAGCCTGAAGAGAGAATAGAGAAGTCCTTTTTCATCTGTAACTCACACCAACTGTCGGTTTGTCAATAAACAAGATGGTTCGAGGTCAGTTGGCAAAATGATCCACAGTAGGCTACCTTATCTTCTATTGAGTAAAGCAGTTTTGTCAGTTGCTCAAGCCTAAAGGGTACCGATTGACCTAAATCGCCGGAGATCTGAAAATCAAGAAAATAACATATCATGACAAGGAGGTTTTTCTGTGTGTTGTTTTTCTTACAGACGGTTAAGGGTACAACTCACTTGTTTTAGTCCAATCCCCGGGGAGAGCTGTTGGTCCAACGTTCTATGAAAGATCTCCAAAACTGGCAGGATGCAGGATATTTCACTGTCTCACAATAAAGGGCAGAAAATCAGCCTTATTCTTTGTAATCTATATAATGTATTTGCCAAACCCATGTCCACACGGACCTACACAGGAGTGTGAGATAGCAGACAGGATCACCACTGTAGGAACAGCTGCAGTACGATAGCAGCAGAGAGAACATGTCCTGTGTAGCACACATTATACAGAGGGCAATCACAGCGGCTCTGTGCCAGCAGCTTAGTCCATGCTTTAGCTAACTGGTGAGATTTCTCTCACCAGTTTGTCATGCATTTCTTTATTAAAACACCACATGTGTATTTGTTTGATCTCAACCCAAGATACAAGTTTATACTAGTATTCAAACTTGTTATTAATCGTGAATAATTACAGATCAACATTGGGATTAATGTAATAAAATGCCATGTTTCTACAGTAGCACACAAGAGAAGAACCAGACTCTGGCTCTAGATGGACTTTCGTACCTTTACATTTGCGTAGGGCCACTATATGTTATCCAAAGGAAAAAAATTATAAAATATGTAAATCAAAGATCCAAACCCATAGAAGTACATTAATAGAGGTCACTACAGTGGACAGCTATTCAAAAGGTGTTTTCTTGTATATGCATTGTTTTTTTTTGCATAGTTGCACCATCAGCCACTACATAGGACTCTATTGCATCATCCCATACACTGCCACTCAGTGGAAAGTCAGTGTAAGTGCATGATACATGTCTCTAAACCAAGATGGACGACAAAAAGCCACATGGACCAAGTCACCCATCTATATCTTGCCAATCCTTTTATGGAAAGCGTCCCCTGCAGGTATAAAAAATATGGTGACATCAAGTAACAACTAAGGAATCATATAATTCATAATTTATCAAAGTATTGATTGTATGTTTGCAGGAAATCATGATTAACCACCTGTCCACTACAGTGGACGTCATGCATCACTGGCTATATTTCAACTACAATGAATACTGGTACTGCTGCTGCTGTACCCAGGGCCGTCCCTCCCTACAGGCAGATCATGCAGACTGTGTGGGGCCTCACCTTGTGGAGGGGGTCACACCTTGCGGAGGGGGGCCTCATCTGAGGCGCACCTATGCGCTTATGTGGCGCAATTAGGGTGGCGCGGCACGGTTTCGCTGCTGCGAGGCTCCACTAGCACTCATCAAATAACTGTGCGTGGGGCCTCAAATTGGCCCCTGGCCCTGGTTATTCTTGAAAATACTTCATCTGCAATATCTTTTTGGGCCGTAAATCAATGTACTTATGTTATTATGATGTCATTTTAAGTTTGCACATCTTTATTTATCATTTTTTCAAAATGTACGTCTCTTCAGTTCAAACCCTGAGCGCATACTGTCCACCTGAGTGGACATATAAATATCTCTTTGAAAAAACTAGATTAAAAAAAAAAAGTTCAAATCTTGTTTTTCATGCCCCAAGAGCAATAATAACACTTAGTAAAAAAATCCTGACTGAGGCTTTCATAATTCATGCATGAAAGGGTTAAATACGGTCGGAATAAGTTATAAGCTTTTACTTTTAAAAGTGGTGTATCCTCGTAATCATTTTGAGTCTCTTTCAGCTTCTTGCGATCAAGCACACCAGGAGACGTCAACTCCTCCCTGAAGGTCCAGGGCCTGGGGCCGTGTGGGGACATAGGACTAGGCCATTCTGTTGACTGGTAACTGTACCTGTTTAGATTCTTGCAGATTGCCATTGTTAGCTTATTTAGCCCAGGAAGGTTAGGGAAACCATTGTGCACTTGTTCAGCATCCAGGCTGACTGAGGTCCGGAAGTATTCTTGGATAGCCAGTTGATGCTCCTCTGGTATTCTGGAAATGTAAAACACAGTAACAATTTAAAAACGGTTTAATTATTCAAACCTCCGTTAACCTAGTTTAATCACTTAAAGCTCTATTATACTATATTTTAACAATATATTATAGGGCCACATATATACAAAACATGTCTCTGAAGTGTTCTGCTCAAAATACCAAACAGATCACCCATGTTTCACATGCCTCATACCCCTCTATTTCAGCCCTGTTACTAAAGTGCTGATTCTGTGTCTGGCCCTTTAAATGTAACCGAGCTGCTGCTGGCCATGCCCCTTTGGAGGACCGTGGACGCAAAGCCAGCCCCTCTGGTAATGTCGTCATGACGCAGCAAATCTGGATCAGCTCCGTTGTACCCCCGTTTTTAGAGATGTGGATAAGGCGGAAAAGAGAGAGGGTTGTATTTCTGACACTTTGTGAGTCTCCTTACACACCGGGGACACATATTTATGTATACAAGACATCAGAAAGTGCATTTTGCATAATAAGGGACCTTTAACAGTGTTAAATCACTGCTCACAAACATATGACTCATTGTACACTTCGTATACTGCCAGTGTATTATCAGAAACTTTGCATGATTCATTATCTGGTTATATGCATCACTGCAAATTCTGTAAATGTGTCCATACGTGGACAAGTCCATATGCTGCAGTCTCATCAGGTAGGTTTCTGATAGGGACATGGAGTCACTTTCTCTCACATCGTTGCCAGCGAAGTTCCTGGGTGGAAGCTGCGGTGGAAGAATCTGGGATTCTGCAGGACAGAGATGTAAAGGATGTTTAGGAATTTTAAAATGTTAAATCTTAAAATGTTTCACATAATATCCACCAATCAAATGAATAAGAAGTTGTTTGACCTTGCTCCTCGTCTACCTCCTCCTCCCTATGGACAGGGTACTGCAGATGAGTGACCAGACCCATGTTGGGACTGTAATATGCCTCCACCAGCTCAGTGAGCACAGAGAAGAACCTGATAGGAACTCCTTCTGATGCCTGAAGAGCAGATCACAGCAGACACATCATTCACCTCATTGCTCAGAAGAATGGACATTACATGGTGGGCTTTGTTTTTTCCTTTCCCAGACCAGGTGACACAATCTTTTAGTTTTACTTCCCAAGTGACGTCAATGGTGCCGTCTGTGGCTTCCTCCAGCATACTAGATCTGCATTCATGTCATCAGCTAAGTTCCTTAAGCAGCTGTGTGTGCAGTTCAAAGACTTTCAAAGATTGAACGGTTGAACGGTCATTGCAGTCACTCTATAACGTTTATGTATTCTTTTTCTGACCATTTGTTTTCATCTTGCTTCACACACACAATTGTTTGACTTATTTTACAGCAAACCGACTCTAATCTCTTTCAAAATGTTATTCTAAAACCCCAGACTGCCATTCCACATTAAATGATCCAAAACCTTTGTTGTCACTATGTTTGCATCACAGACAGTGCCTGCTGGAACTGGAAAAACTGGTGCCACTACTATTTAAACTGCCAGCCTGCATGCGGGGTCACAGATCGTGCACAAGATCTATTATTTTAATGGTAGAAATCATAAATGTTTGCTCCTAAGTACCCTAGGATAGGCCTTTTTTTGGTAAATGTGCATGTTCCAATACGATAACACTTTTCATATCTTTGTTTCTATGCAGATGATACTCCATTATATGTGCAAAGGGCTTTCACTTCCTCCTGGTGGTTGTCATTTCATTGTGTTCAACAAACACAGCAGTTCTCAGCTGTTTAGATACAAATGTGAATCATTTTGAGAGAAAAATAAGGGTCTAAATAGATGCGAGTGGCTCTGTGAGGCATTGTTATTCACAGTCGAGGTTTTGAGCTAAATGTTAAGACAGCATGCTAAAATGCTCACAACAACAATGTAAACATGCTGATGCTAAGCATGTTTTTTGTTACTGTTTTATTTGAGATTGTTAGCATGCTAAAATTTTCTAATTCGAACTAAACCCAAAGTGCAGCTGAGGCAGGTAGGACTTGGTCATAAACCAGTGTGGAACAAATTGAAATGATGCCTTGATGATAGTGCTGGATTAAAGATCATGTGATCACCAAAATATAGACATTCATACCGGAATGTATGAACACAATCTCAGGGCAAGCCTTTCAGTATATATTGAGATGTTTAAGTCCAAAATGGTGGACAATCGACAAACATTGCTATCCTAAAAGTCGTGTCCTTAGCACGGCTAAATGAAAAATGATGCCACAGGCCAGAGGACGGATGTAACCAATATGGGTCTTAAAATACAGGTGGAGGTGCAGCATCAAAATTAGCTGCATACCAACATTTAGTTCTGATATAAGAAGCCCTTTATCTTCACATTCATATAGACATACATCCATGTATATACTGTTAATACTTATCAGTCTATAACCATAATAACTCAACAGATTTTGGTACAAAATAATGGAGGCTTTTGTGAAACTGTCAACCCACCTGGACAGAGAGCTTCTTATCCTCATTTGGCAGGATTCTGTATGTGTACACACAGTTCTGGTATCTGTGGTTAATAGAGATAATAAAATGCAAATGTATGTCACTGGAATATGACATTGTAGGTCAAAGAAACTGAATACTGGCTGATTGTGTTTTATTGAGTTCAGCATGCGATCAAAACAGATTGTAAAGCATTTCAAATTGATATTTCTATTTCAAAGTTATGAGTTGGAGATGGCAAAGGGTGGTGCGGCGTGGTAGCACAGTATGCAAATAAAGGGGAATTAGACTTGCCTTACGAGAGTACATGCAGAAAATCTAATATGACACATTGACAAATAGAAGGGGGAAATGTAACTTTTAATCATGTTATATTAACTATGATAAGAGTAATTTCTTCTTAAACCTGATTCCAAACACAAATTGAGTGTTTATCTTTAAATAAAAAGGATCATTTTTCAAACAATAGTCATTGTCCACTTTGAAATTGCATTTAAGATAAACTGTCAAGAAAACCAAAAATGTCAACTTACAGAACACAGAGAGCATACGCTCCCTGTATGGACTCACTAGCCCGGATAAGGAAGCTTCCATCTCTTGCTGCTTTGGAAAGTAGATCCTCAGCTTTGGATCGACTTATTGTACCATGGCACCATGGTTGATAACTCGGCATCCTGTTTCTCCCCGGGGAGCCTGAGCTCAAGAGTTTTGCCTCTGCTCTCCAACAGTATGATAGCAAACCGAAGTAGCTATTTCATCTTTTCATGGTGCGTACTTCAGAAGTCTTTTTGTTCACTTGTTCATCCTCTGCCCCTGAAAGCTGTAAAAGGAAGCTGCTACTAGCTAGGCTCTGAACTTCCTTATTTGAGAGGTAAAGAGAGGAGGGCCCTGGTTCTGCCCTGCCTGTTATACGACAGATCTCCACAGCTCTAACTGGAAATATATACTTTCACTCTCCAAGTAGAAATCTTTGTTACATTGTGTTAATGATTAACCAGCATTCCCTCTTTAGTTTCTGTACAGCTGCTTGTTAATGTGAACCATGCAGGAAATAGTCAAAGCATTTGTTAAAATAAAAATTAAAAAGGGAAGTAACAAAAATGTATCAAACACGACTCCATTTGTTATAGTCCAAACATTTCTTGACAATTGTGTTCGAAAATAAATTCATTCTATAAGGAGCTTCAATTGGTTCCCTGATGCGTTTTTAATGGCTGAATCACATTTGACTTAAAGTTAAACAAGTGCTCATATTCACACCAAACTGTGTCTGAATGATCATAGTTTGATCTTTAAATATGAACTAGAAGAGCAAGGGGTTTTATGAAAATGTGTACATTCAGGAAATACAAATTTAGAGTGGCTTGCCTTGTTCATGTGATGGACAGGAAGTGTTGCAGAAATAAGAGGAGGAAAGTAAGCTGCTCACAAACCACAACATGGGTCACAAGACACAAAAAGAGAACTACACAGTGACAAGTCACTGCAGCTCGGAGGTTTCTGTCCTAAGCTAGAAATAGATTTCTCACTTTCACAGAGAGCAGCTCAAATCCTCAGATATATGACAGTTTAGAGAAGACACATCATCTCATGCACAGCACAGAGCACTTGAAAACACATGTTTACTTAGTTATTATTTACAACTTAATGTTACAAAGTACATTTCTAATTCACATTTAACTAATCTGGGAAAATAAATCCTGTATTTCACCTCTTCTGCAGATGACGTCAAGCCAGACTGACTCACAGTAAAACAGGGTTAATAGTTTTTCATGCAATAGTGCAATAAAAATGTGTACAAAAAAATACATGCATAGCATAGCAAGTTAGGAAGTTGGATAATGACTAAGCATGTCTACAATGAAGATGTGTCTAGCAAAAACAAAGTAAGAAAGCAAGAAAAGTCTATTAAAGTATACCTCATATTAAAATAAGACCAAGAGTCTATAGCCATGCTAGCAGCTCTGAGACATTGCACCGGCATTGGGGTGCTTTGAGCTGCTAACATACTCACAATGATGGTACTAGCATGCCTGACAGGTACATCTCTACCTTGTTTATCATCCTGTTTGGGGGTGTTGGCATTCTGAATGTTGCTAATTAGCAAACACAAGGCTATTGGGGATGTCACATGTTTTGCATTGGTCAAACAGTTATTCATTCTCAGTGGAACATGAAAGTCAGTACCAAAAGATAGTTTAGTCTGGACCAAATTGTGGCCAACGACTAACTTAGCTCTCTTTTTGGGAACTTAAAAATTGTTCTTACTGCCCATTATTCTGAAACCCGATGCACCATGGAACTGAGCCCAAACCATTTTTTTTAACTTTACTTTACAGCCTCTGATTGGCTAGAAATTGTCGCCTTTGTTGATTGGGTTGGTAAGGTTTAGCCATGAGGGTTGGGACTGGTTAGTGCTAAGATAGTATATCAGGCTAAGCCAATTAGAGGCAGAGTAGGGCGTGTCATGACTTTGCCATAGAAGGAAAACAAATTGCGTCAGAGAAGGTCAGATGACATCATCATGAACAAATTTGATTTCAGTCCAATGAAACATTTTCCGACTGATTGGTTTGTTGAATAACGGTCATCACCACAATAGCCTGGCAGACCATATCTGGGGCTTTGCTGCTTGGGTGACTACAAACAATCTATCATTACAGCAATACAATCACATTATAACTTTAAAGGTGAAGGAGTTATATACTATTCACACCATCTCAGTTTGGTGTGTTAGCACTTAGATTAAACCTGTGGGTAATAAATCAAAGTATTGCACAAATCAACATTTTATACCTACCGGTGACAGGAAAAGTTGTTCCAATACTTCCTCCAGTGATCATGGATATCTGTAATTGTGTGGCAATTCCTCCAATACTTGACTGAACAACAAGCCATGTCCAGTGCCACAATGCTAGCATGGCTAAAAACACCTTATATATAAAGGTATTAGGAAGTAACAAGTCACATTTGGCATAGGATACAAAACAGTTCCAAAAAATATACATTAAGAGTTGACTATGTAGTACACATTTGAACATTTGGTGTTTAACACAAAAATTGGAAGCTTGTGGAAATAGTAGATTCAACAACGTGTTGAGATCACAGGTGGGTGGATCCTCATAGTCTCACAGACCATGATGGTCTGAGAGTGAGGGCTAGTGTTTAGGGGGCTCCCGTTGACCTTAAAGGCACTTTCATTAAGTCAGCAAGGCTGCAGACTTTGGTTGTGGGATCACCTGGTGGTAGAAGATGGCAAGAAGAAATGCTCCTGGAACTATAAACTAACTACTTGTTTTCTTTAAAACAGAATAATTCTCTTCAACATCTCTCACATTTAGCTGAGCACAGGTTGGCCCTGTCCAGGTAACATGAGTTCCTGCTGCGTTTCCCAAGTCCTTATAGGGAGTCCTCATATGCTCCTGCTAGTACACAGGATTCACTTACAGTCTCTGAGGGTGAATTGGGCGTGGGATGGAGACTATAACTGAGACATGGTGACTAGAGAAGCACATCAACCACATTGTGAAATGGGCCTAAGTAAGGAAATTCATCTATGTCAAACAATGTTCCAGATCAAATGTATTTTCCTCAAAACTCAGACTTGGCACTGACAGAGCTCTCATGTGTTCCCTTTAACTCTCCACTGGTGGCTGCTGACACCCCGGCCTGATCTTTGCAAAACAATCTAATAAGTGTTCCGCGGAACTTCTCCGCTCCAAACAGGTAGATCAGCGGGTCCAGGGCACCGTTCAGGCAGGTGAGGGATGAGGTGAGGCGGTTGGCCAAGCTCAAGCCTCTGCGCGTCTGGCAGGAGACGTCAGGGTGGTTGTAGCCCAGGATAAAAGTGGCCCTGCTCAAATGATAAGGCAGGAAACAGACTACATAGATGAGCATGACCAGACCAATGGTGCGCAGGGCCCTCAGCTTGAGGGACGGCTCTAACCTGGAGCCCCGATGCAGGTTATAAATGATGAGCAGGTAACAGGACAGGGTGGTGAGGAAAGGCGGGGTAAAGGCTACAGCCAGGGAGATCAGAGCATTGCGTGAGGCCTTCTCTCTGTACAGCTGCAAACACACCGTCATGCCGTCTACCTCTGCAGTCTGGTTGGTGATGAGCAGTGGCGCCATGGAAACAGTAACCAGGGCCCATAGAGAGAAGCTGATGATGTGAGCGTAGCGGGCACGACGAACCTTCAGCGACCTCACAGCATGAACCACAGCAAGGTAGCGATCCCCTGCCACACAGGCCAGGAAGTATAGGCTGGCGTACATGTTGACAAAAAATAAAAAGCCTGCCAACCTGCAGGGCACCTCGCCAAAGGGCCAGTGGCCTCCTGTGAGGTGGTAGGTGGCCCTCAGGGGGAGAATGATCACATACGATAAGTCTGCCACAGCCAGATGAATCAAGAAGACGTTTGCTGGAGATGAAGCGCCACGCTGGTGAGAGAAGATCCAGAGGGCAAGGCTGTTACCGTTCAGCGCTAGGAAAAAAACCAGGATGTAGAAGCATCCAAACAGTGTGTTCTCCACTGTGGTATCCACCGGAGCACAGCTCTCTGATGACTGATTGGATAGCACGGAGGACAGATCCATTGTAGCAGACTCCATTTTGCTTGCTGAGGAGACAACAAAACTGACATTTAAAATGTATCTAAAAAATAAATTTAGAAAACTAGAAACGTCTACATTTTATTTTAATATAGCAAAGATATTTACAGGTATTTATACAGCACATTTCTAGTTAAGTATTTTCGTTTGCAGAATAGATATAGTATCTAATTGACAGTTCCAGATCACTGACCATTTGAGTCATGACTTTTCTAAACACATGCTTTTAATTTCGGAAAAAATTGTTCAGTATGCAAACAGCAAACTACTGCAGTGACAGGAAACCCAACCCCTGTCCGTCCGCCCGCCCGCCCACACACACACACACACACACACACACACACACACACACACACACACACACACACACGATAGGCAGGGAGAGTTTGTCTCAGTGACAGTCTCACAAGGTCACAATGGATGTCAGTGTACCCGGTTAATGTCCACATTCCCTCAGAGCAGATAATTACTTCATTCTGACCACTACAAGTATGAGACTCCCTCTGCACACTATTAAGTTCAGGAAATGTGAGTCATTAGATCTTCACTCCTCTTTTTTACTTATTATCTGGCCCCCTAGTTTGATTTGTCGGCATACAATTCTTTAATTCAGACTGAATGGTGAACTGTAACAATTATATAGCGTGAGCAATTTTAAACCTTAAACTAGCATAGCATCAATAAGTCTGTAAATGTGTCTCCAAAGTTTGTATCTCTTCACCTGACAGACACCACTCTCGTGTTTGTAAGCTAATAATAAGCTTGCGCCAGCCGCCTGTTAGCTTAGCCAGGAAACTAAATGTCTGCCCTAAGTTTTAAAGCAAACATATTAACACCTCTGTTTGATTTGTATCTAAAATTTTATAATAAGATGACAAGTTATAGTTTCAATGGTTTTTTGTGACAGGCAAATTTTATGCACATAGCCAGGCTGGCTGTTTGCCCGTTTTCAGTCTAAACTAAGCTAGTTGTATCTTCTCATTTAGTTCAATTTCTTATTCAGTATTTTCCAAATGTCCAAAATGTTCTTTATGGGTTACGGCTACATAAAGTAACCTGTTGGTGGAAATATACTTTTATCAAAGATATATTTTAATGATATATGATTTTCCAATTTCTGGGGTTATTCCTTCGTGAGTTTAAAGCATAACTTTTGATCTATATACTCTCCACATTTTTGTATTTTCTCTCTATGAGAACCATTCGACAGACCTAAAGAATTACCACCCACTCCTCTATCCCTCAGGCAAGCTCCATGTGTCCACTCCATTGGGCGTGAACACAAATAATGAATGTGATAAAAGGCTTATTTTCGCTTTGTGGAGGATCCAAAAACATCATCAAAACATGTGCAGCCAGCAGAGATGAACTTGACATCCACAGATGTTTCTTTAGCTGATGGAAGTTCACAAATATATGATGCAAAAAGCTGCCCAGACAGTGAAACGTCTTCGGCTTTGAGATTTGTCTTGGCAGATGAGAAGCGCTATATACATTAAATGTATTATTATTAAAATGTATTAAACGTGATTAAATAATGCTGTACCGCATAG